AGTGTGGGGACCCAAAGCTGTTGAGGAAGCAACGAAACAAGTGGAGGTATCAGGGGACACGCTGATGGCACGGCGTATGGAGGTGATTGATGGCCTCATTGAAAACTTTAATGCGTTGAAGAGCAAGGGCAAAAGCGATGGATGGGCAAATACCATTGAGCACCAATTTTCCTGTGCGAATCACGCCATAACTGACGTTGAACGGATTTCAAAGTCTATATTTCGCTGATTTGGGCTAATGTATCCGTCTGTGTGAAAGCAAGTGTAGACACTTTGTGTTTTTTTTTTGTTGTTTTTCTGTGCTTGTTTTTTTTTTTTTTGGAGGCGGAGCAGTGTGATTAGTTGCGTTTATCAGTTCTTTTTTTTTTGCCTTGGGAAGGTACGGACCGTTATTTTGTGTAATATATGCATATTTGCATTTCCAAGCCTTTTTTTTTTGAGAGTGCTTAGGCGTTGCGTAACAGGTTTTATTATGTGTTCGAAAATAGGCGGAAAAAGATGTCCTAGGCGTACAGCGTGCATTGGTGTGGTGGTGTTGTTCCTGTTGCTGACCATCGCGCCGGTGCGTGGCGAGGGGGCGGGCGGCTGGGAGGGTGAGGGTGGCGGTGCGTGGCGGAGCCCCGCTGCTTTGCACCCCATTGCGGCCGAAATGCGGCCTTTTATGCGTGAGATGATAGAGCACGCCTTTGGTTCCTACATCAAGTACGCCTTCCCAAAGGACGAGTTGTGCCCGGTAAGCGGGTCTGGAAAGAATACCATGGGCGGCTACGGGTGGACACTGATCGACGCACTCGACACACTGGCAGTTGCTGGGCTGCATACGGAGTTTCGCCGCTATGCGAAGTGGGTGGAGGAACATGTGAGCTTTGACATTGACGTCACCGTCTCCGCGTTTGAGACGACCATTCGAGCTCTTGGCGGACTTCTCGCGGCGCACTTTATGTACGAAGAAGGTGTGGTGGCGGTTGTGGCCTCGGAGCACAACTACACGGGTGGGCTCGTGCGCCTCGCTGTGGATCTTGGGAATCGGCTTCTCCCGTGCTTTAACACCAGCACCGGGATACCGTATGTATCCGTGAATCTTCGGCACGGTGCTAACAGACTGGGTGGAACGAGCACCACCACTGCTGATGCTGGTACTTTTTTGCTGGAGATGACCGCTCTGTCTGGGGTCACAGGCGACGACAGGTATGAGCGAGCTGCCCGGCGTGCCTCTGAGGCTTTGTTCGCAGCTCGAAGCCCTCAGACAGGGTTGATGGGAAATCACATTGATATCATGACGGGAAAATGGTTCCTGTCTGAGTCTCACGTTTCTGGAGGGATAGACAGCGCCATTGAGTACTTCATCAAGTCGCATGCCATGACAGGAAACATTGGTGATTGGGACCGTTTTGAGCGGACGGTGCGGGACGTGAACCAGTACATCAGAAAAGGCGGGATGCTGACCACTGTCGATATGGACAGCGGTCAACGGAGTAGAGCCACTCATGCATCACTGTCCTCCTTCTTTCCTGGCAACCTTCTTCTTGGCGGCCATCGCACAGAGGCCACGGAGAGCAACTGGCCGATTCACAGCATTTTCAAGCACTTTGGGGCGTTGCCAGAAGACTTTTCTTTGAACGATGCAGATCCCTCCTACGGCTACCCGCAGCGTCCCGAACATGCGGAGTCTGTGTACATGCTGTACCGCGCGACCCATGATCCTGCATACCTTGTGATGGGAAGGGAGCTGGCGTTGGCGATCAACTTGCGTATGCGGACTCCGTATGGCTTCTCCACGCTGCAAAGAGTGAACCTTCCCCACAGTGATCAACACCACGGCGACACGATGGAGAGCTTCATGATTGCAGAGACGCTGAAGTACCTGTATCTTCTCTTTGATGAGTGCAACGTGGTGCACGTTCAGGGGAAGCTCCGTGGCAGCGTCCCGCCATATTGTGCGGCTGTGGAGGGAGGCAGCAGTAGGGGGAGCCATGTGGGGTGGGTGTTCAACACCGAGGCGCATTTGTTTCCCAACACGGCTGAGTGGTGGGGACCCAAAGCTGTTGAGGAAGCAACGAAACAAGTGGAGGTATCAGGGGACACGCTGATGGCACGGCGTATGGAGGTGATTGATGGCCTCATTGAAAACTTTAATGCGTTGAAGAGCAAGGGCAAAAGCGATGGATGGGCAAATACCATTGAGCACCAATTTTCCTGTGCGAATCACGCCATAACTGACGTTGAACGGATTTCAAAGTCTATATTTCGCTGATTTGGGCTAATGTATCCGTCTGTGTGAAAGCAAGTGTAGACACTTTGTGTTTTTTTTTGTTGTTTTTCTGTGCTTGTTTTTTTTTTTTGGAGGCGGAGCAGTGTGATTAGTTGCGTTTATCAGTTCTTTTTTTTTGCCTTGGGAAGGTACGGACCGTTATTTTGTGTAATATATGCATATTTGCATTTCCAAGCCTTTTTTTTGAGAGTGCTTAGGCGTTGCGTAACAGGTTTTATTATGTGTTCGAAAATAGGCGGAAAAAGATGTCCTAG